AAGAGGGAAATAATTTCTAATAAATTTGAATAGTACTTAGGTAAACAACAAAAGAACAAATGTTCCCAGAGAACTAAAGCATGTCCACCTCAGTCAAATCCTGAGGCAGCAACTGTTGTAAACATTGATTACAGTATCATTTGTCCAAGTAAGCTTTAGCCAGCCCTCAGAATTAACCATGTTTGCAAAGATTATATAAAGCAAACCAAAACTTACACAAATCAGATACTTAATTTGAAAATTTTTCACCTCCAATAATTCAAATGTCAGAAAAAATACCATAACTAAGTGAAACTAAGAAAATCATGACATGGTTGTTTTCTAAAAAAGGCCTTTGTTAGGTAAGTAAATATCAAGCTATGTTTTTGATAAAGGTATTTCAGCAATATCAAAATCCACCACTGCCTCAACAGCAAAATAGAAAGCCACCAGTAGGTGCATTAGATCTTTTCTGCTAATGGTTGGGACCAGAGATATCTCTGCTCCTAAGATAAAATTATAGGATTGAAAATTAAAACCAAGAAAAAAATCCATATCCATTGCACTAATCAGACCAGAACTTCCATTTTTTATTTTCATTATCCACAGCCATAACAATTAAAAGCTGCTGGATTTTTTTTTCAATATACATATAAAAGGTAAAGTGTCCATCTAAAGACACCATTAAAAGAGCCTCATCCACATGTTTTTCTACACAATAATCAGTTGTTATAGATTTATATTTTTTTATGAATTAAACTGCCACAAAAGGGACTACCTGAGAATCCTCATAGCCAGACAGATAATTGACTGGAGGTTATTGAAAAGAGAAAGCCACTTTTAGCCATATAATATCCTTCTCTAATTATGTAATAATTTTTAGCAGATCTTTTCTCTCTTCCTCTGACAACTGATTAGATGGTGAGGCTGAACCCTGTAAAGAGATTCAGCTTTTACAAGTTACTCTGCCAAGTAATAGCAAAGAGCTGGAAATTACTGCCATTGTGAGTTCAGTTTAATATATTACACTCACTGTGTTAGACCAATTGCACTGATTCTTTATTACTGGCTATTTTCCCTTGGGAATCACGCAGTATATTTTCTAATTTACAGCTTCATGGCCACTTAGAAAAATATGGTTACATGATTCCTCCTTTCCATCACATTTCCCTTCTTACAAGGACCTCATATTGACTGGGAAAAGATGTGAATGTTCTTGTTAGAACTTATCCTCTAGATCCACGTGCAGTTTTCACCTAAGACCACCTCACTGATAAAAAAAAAAAAAAATCCAACCATTTCCACTTTCTTCTCTTCATTTTCAACTTCTTGCTCCCTGTTTATACAGGCAGAAGGCTTAATGCTTCACTTTGCTGTACAGTGAACTGGATCAGGGAATTGATTCAGATTAAAACTATGTAGAAGTAAAGGTGAGTTTTAACCACAATCAGTTTTCCACATGGAGAGTTGTCCTGGCAAAGAGAGAGACAAGCAGGATCAGGGGCAGAGGAAGTTTGCACACTGGGGGAACCAGAAAACTTAAGCTGCTTCAGTTTCCCTCAGCTTATGTTTATAAACTGCTTCACTTTATACCAGGTTAAAACTCAACTGAATTGCACTGTTTGATGCAAAAAGTGAAAGGCACCTTTATGTATATCCACACTGCAACCAGTAAAATTAAGTTTGTAGCTATTAATGGGCTTCAGTTTTCCAGTGACACTTGGCTTACAGGTTTTTACAGGAGCTGTCCAAACGCTTTTCATCCAGGTGAGAGATGCTATTATTTCTAAATGGTAACTGACAGTCTTGTAGGGTATTTATAAAGATGCTTCTTCTAATCTGTAAGGTATAATTTACAGGTCGTTTCCCCCTAGCTGAGCTGTGTAATCATCAAGCAAGTATTATTGAATTATCACAGTAGCACACCATGTTAGAGGTTTTCGTTTAGATGGGTTAGTGTGCAGTAGAA